CTCACAGGCGGGATCATGATGGTTGTGGTGTGAACATAAACTGGTTGCCAAGGCTTCTTGGTGCATCTGTTTCCTCCCCTCAGCTCACACTTCAACTATATTCTGATTATTATATGACAAAAATAAAAATCTTACGCTAAATGAGTAAATATGACCATTATTAACAGGCCTGAAATTCACTTCAGGTTATTTGCATGTGGATTTTCTTTACATAAATTACTTGAAAACACCGTCAGCTACTTAATTTCATGCCAATGATTTTTATAAATAATCATGATCAGATGTTAAACATTGGTATTATTGGTATCATATTGTTATCATTCTTAAACGTAAATTGATTCATTTGCCAACACATTTGCAGAGCTTTGAAGAATAAACACAATCTTGGAGATACTCAAAAGTTATGCAGTGTATGTTCAAACATGGTGGATGAACTGAAAGAACCTTTTAAGCTTTTTTCAACAATTAAAGAACTGGACTTTGTACAAATTTTCATTTAAAGGGCACCTGGGTTTCCCCTAGAAATGTTTCCAGTGGGTGGTGTGCTGAGCACAGACAATTTTGCTGCAGTGCGTTGTCTAGGGCTAGGTAGCTCGTTGCTTGTGCACTGTTTCGCTGCCGTGTGTTGTCCGTGATCTCGTAGGCGTGGCGCTGGAATTTCAGCAATAGCGCAGCACCACACCTGAGCCTACAGTATGTAGGGGAAACACTGGAAACATATCATGCAAAAGTCACCTTTTGCATCCTTTTGTGTTCCAATGTAGTTCTCTACTACCTCTGTAAACCCTCTAAATGTGATAAAACACCCATCCCTTGTCTGTCAGTGTTTGTTTTAGGAATTATTTGCCTACAAGCAATTTGAAAAATCCCTGTTTGTGATGTCACTCGTAGAACCCTGCCTCACATGTTGACGCTGGAGGAACAGCAGCTCTAATCTGAGCCCCTCTTGAATTTTGGAGCTTCTCAGCTCATAGCAGCCTGAGTGGATAATAGGTGGGCATGACCATGTTTTCTTAAAGTGACAGTAAAACGGCTCATTCTGGAAGGTACTGAAAATGTCACAAATAAAACTGCTGAAATTGCTTTGTGTGAGAGGGATTTAGGACAAAGAACTTCATAAACGTGTTTTGTATCAACCTTAGAACTGTCATGTGTAAATAATGGAAATCACAATGTAACCGTAGAAACACTACTTGGTATATATGTTGTGTGTGCGTGCGTGCGCGTGTGCGTGTGCGTGTGCGTGTGTGTGTGTGTGTGTGTGTGTGTGTGTGTGTGTGTGTGTGTGTGTGTGTGTGTGTGTGTGTGTGTGTGTGCTTTCTTCTCGATCCCCAGTGAGTCGTGGTGGATGGCTGTCTATACTGAGCCAGAATTCTGTGGAGGTTTCTTCCTGTTAAAAGGGAGTTTTCCTCTCCACTGTTGCTAAATGCTTGCTTAGTATGAGGATTGGTGCAATTTGCTGGGTTCCTTGTATAGGAAACTTTTTTCTGATGGACTTAATGAACTGACCTGGATTGGAATGTTTACTATGTGAAGTGCCTTGAGATGACTCTTGTCGTGATTTGGTGCTATATAAATAAAAATAAGTAATAATAGTCAGTCACAAATCTAGAAGTTAATTTACTTTACTACTGAATTCAGTTTGATTAAAAAACACTTAAGTTATGAAAGGAAATTAGTAACTTCCTAGGTTTTGAATAATGAGCTTAATACGTCGGTGGTTTTGTTCCACAGAAGTCATGTGCAGGCATTTGAAGTTTCTGCAAATGTACACTTTGGCAGAAGTATAAATAAGCTTCAAGCCCATTTGCCTAGAGCAGGTGTCGGCAACCTTTTCCCATCAAAGATCCTGTTTCCCACAGTAAAGAAAACACTGGGAGCCACAGCAGAGAGCTGCTTTAACCAATCAGCAGGTGACAGCAGCCAATACCAGTCACTTGTGTATGTGAAAGTTATCTTTCAACAGAAGATAATCAATAGAATGATTTGTATAAAATGGATCCAGAAGTTGTAGCCCGTCTCTGCCTACAATATTTTGATATTTTTCACCGTTAGTTGTTCGACTGAGCAGGTGTCACTTTTGTCAAAAATATTTGTTTTTAAAACATGTTTAAACTGTTCAGAATATAAATCCAGGTCACTTTTGATTGTTGTAATTAAACTTTGTAGGTGGAGAAGGTAAGAAAATGATCCGATCAATTTGTTGTTCCCAGTGTTGTTGTTTACAGTGATGGAGATAACGGCACAGTGCACCTGGCTCTGGTGGTGATCACGTTAAATTTGATCTCTTTTCAACAATTTTCACGAGAATACAGAACAGTTAAAAGCAGGGCTTGTGTTGACCGGATAGTTCTCGTATTTGACCGTTTATTTTGACGGAGAAAGATAGAAAGAATTACCCCGACGCATGCGGACGAACTGACATTTTATTCGTTACGCACATCGCGGATGTAGCTAAACCATTCAAGAAAAGATTCCCATCTGAACATCTGAGCTGGACACTGCTCAGCGCAGCTCGCTGTCAGCTCGTGGGTAAGGTGCACAGCGAGCTGAAGATGTGGAGAGGGGCTTGGAGCGCATCGCAGAACCAGAGCGCATGCGGGAAGATTCCTCCCACTGAAGCGAGTGTTTTCCAAACCCTGTCTCTCAGAGAGACTTGTCACTTAGAAAATGTTCCCTGATTATGAAGCTTTGGCTGAATAGTGCTTGTTCCTGTCTCCAATGTGGCGACACATCCATGAGCCTGTCTGAGGAGAAGCCCAGAATCTCACATCCTCTTCAGCTCAGAAAGCGCCTGTGATTACGCACAAGCGTGTAGCATGTCCCGTCAACCCGGTCTCACCGTAAGACCGGGCTGGACCTGTTCAGGTTTACGCAGACAGTCTTTACATTTAGAATTGGCATTCAGATATAAAATTAATGCAGTAAAATATAAAGCACTTTATTTAAATATCCATTCATTATTTTGCAAGCACAGAGAGCCGCATCAGATGGATGGAAGAGCCGCATGTGGCTCCAGAGCTGCGGATTGCCGACCCCTGGCCTAGAGCCAAGTTCTGCATGCCAGAGATAAAAGATGGTGGACCTGATTTTCAGAAGAACTACATCCCTACCTGGTTCTGTTAACACTTTCAGTGTCTGCCAACTAAATCCATAAAATCAGTTTTCACTTAATCCATCAACATGTGATCTACTGCTGCGTTTGTTTGGAACAAAACAAGATGAGTCCAAGTCTGCTCTGTGGAAATGGTTATCAGCCGAAGCTTGGCATCTCATCCCTCAAGCCTCCAGTTTACTGAGAACAACAAAAATGACATTTCCTCATCTGATGTGATGTTTTTCTGAAGATTCTTTTCAGGCAAGAGATTTGATGAGGAGAGTTATGCGAATAAAGGTTTATGTGTGACCACAGAGAAAAATTCAAACTTAAAACTTGCTAAGTTTAAAATTTACATTTTTGACATTTTGCGTTTTTCAATATTTATTTATTTTTTTCTTAAGCTGATTATGTGTTCAGGCAACAAATCAGTTATTTCTGTTATTTTTCAACTGTTGTGTTAAGTCCGTGCTTTGTCCTATAGTCCACTCCCAAGTCTAAATCGGCTCCTGGGAATCCTTTGTGTTACTTCTTACTTTTTTCATTTGTAGTCGACCATGACTATTGAACTCACCAGGAAGGACCTTGCTTCCCATAAGGAAGCATTGGCATGGCTGGCCAGGCTAGGTAAGAACGTAGATCGACCGGTAAATTGAGACCACGACACACCGGTACATCACCCGCATCACTGCAGATGCAGCACCAATCTATCGATTTCTCTGTCCTTCTTTCACTCGTGAACAAGACCCGAGATACTTAAACTCCTCCACTTGGGGCAGGATCTTATTATGCTTAATTGCTTTTCATGACCAAATAGCCAAATTTTCTGAATTTGATGTGCGACAAGGCAAATATAAATGATTAAAATAAAATTTACAGATGCAGGGCTCAATGAACCCCAACATAATACTCTACTAGTGCTTTTTGTCTTGGTCTGAACTCAAGGTTTGTACTTTACATACATTATTACAGTACATCTTTGACCCTTAGTCAAGCTGTTTGTTTTGTTTATCTTTTTTCTTTCTCCTTTTGTATTTTTTTTTTAACCAACGGGTTTCAAACATCCACCGCATTGTCATTTCTGCTGTTCTGATTTTCTATCCATTTCCCATTGTTTTTTTAATACTTTGCCTCTTTTGTAGTTTTAAACAATTTCTCAATGTTCATTTTAAGTGAGGATCAGAGGGAAGCAAAGTGGATGACAGTTTTAGATACAAAGTAGCCAAGAAAACATAGACAAAGGCTGACTGCTATAGATGTGAGGCTGATTGTAAGCATTTGTGAAACAAGAACAAAGGAAGCCTCTATCTGCCACTGCTGTGACATGGATTTTATGTCAGGGTTCCTTTTGTGGAAGAGAATTATGATTACAAGCTGTCTTTTCTGGAGAAAATGTGTGTGTGACTATGTGTGTGTCATGACCAAGGATAGACAGATCCTCATGTTATTATAGCAACAACTGATGTCTCATTCAGATACTCTGCTTTTCATAGGGAATTTAATGAAAATGACATGCATGCATGTTACGCCGGAGCCCAGACATGTCCCTGACTTAATTAGCGATCTCTTGCAAGATACTGATTGCAAATCCATGCCTCTTGATTAGAAGATACGCAACACTTCCCTTTTCCAAACACCCAGTCAGGCATGTTTAACAGAGACATATTTCTGAACCACATCTCCACTGTGAAGCATTTGATAAACTTAAAGACAGAAAACTTGCCAAAGAGCCATGATAGCTCGAAGACAGCTTTCATGTGCAGGTAAACACACTGACTGGATTCATGAGCGTAACTTATTTTATTATTTGGGGGGGGGGGGGGGGGGGGGGGGGGCATATAGATCTCAGCTTCAGACCCCCCCCCCCCCCCCCCCCCATCCCACGCTGTGTGATTGTTTAAATATTCATATGTAAACAAGGCGAAACTGTGAGATTCATTATTTATCCCTTAACTGAACAATCCATTCAATGTCCTCCCACATATCATTTTAAGACTGATCTGTCAGCTGGAATAATGACCTCCCCTCCCTGAGAAATAAGGCAGCGGCAGCATGCATTTGTGAAAATAACGAGCACAGAAATCCCATTCGATATCGCACTGTGGGGCCTCTTGTTCGTCCAAGTTGTCATAGTGACGCAGACTTCTGGGGGGCTGGTTTCAAATGTGTATGTGTGCTTCTTTAACCTTTTCTACCCTCATATTGTTGCAGTGAGATGGCATTATTAACATGTAAAGGTGAGGAACAGTAGAAAAGAGATAGTGAGGGTTTTAAAGTGACAATATGTAATTTTTACCATTAATCTGGAAATATCCATCGAAATGTTGTTGAAAATGATTGAAGAAAGGAAGAAGAAAAAAAAGAAGAAAAAAAAAGAAGAAAACACATTTACTGATTTGTAACAAGCAGTTATATAACATTTGCCATTCATAAACAACGTTGTTTACCTTTTTTCCCATTGCCAGTGACAAAGGGGGTCTGATGTGCTCGGCATTTTGCTGGAGGTTGAATGATCTGATGAAGTACTTGTTCTAAAATTGCGCTCCCAGGGATTTTTGACCCTAACGACCATTGGTAAGGTCTTACTCGAATGCAGTGATTTAGGTACGTGCTGCTCTCTATTGCCAGGGAAAATGCATATCGTCACTGCAGATCCTAATGGATAAACAAGGTCAGAGTCAAATGTTAAGCCTGATTTATACTTCTCTGTCTATAAGGATGGCTGAGTCTCTGAATTAATTGAAGTCTCCTTTAAAAACTGCGGAAACGCATCATACTGGTTTGTTATTGCTATTAATTTCTTTTATGTAGTCATTTTTAACCAGTCCTGTCTTTTATTTGTTTTATGATAGTTACTGTATTTTATTTGTCATGTTTTTAACTGTAAAGCACTTTGGTCACTTCTGTGTGGAAAGTGCTCAACAAATAAAGGTTGATTGATGGACTGATCTGCCAACACCATTATGCATTGGCACAAAGGCTCTCTGACGGGCTCACAGAGGGTGATGGAGACATGCCCATACTTTTAAACATTGCAAAACTGCAAGCTTGGGATTGGTCAGGGTGCCTCTTTCCTGTAAATTTGTCACCAGCACCATCGTTTTAAAAAGTAAAAAGATATTTAGCGGCAGACCGAGAATAGATTGAAAGAATGCATCGCAAAAAGTCTGAAAATATGAATGTTTATTCACCCGTGTCAGAAGGAGTACAAAATACGGAGCAAATGTAGACCGAATTGCAGGAACAAATAAATACCCTATCATGGACCAGTTATGTGTTATGGTGGCAGGATATCACAGAAAAGTGCTATGCCCTCTGTTGTCCAGGCAGGGAACTATTTTTCAACACTGCTGCTTGTGCAGAGGTTCGCATTTGAAAGCCTTTCCGACACCCAGTGTGCGTCTTTTCTTTACGAAGCTCACAGAGAATTATAAATCAGACATTAGACTGAAGGTTGCTGATCAATTTCCAGGTTTAGTATGCAAACAAGGATTAATGTTTAAACAAAAGAGACTTTATCAGTCAGGAATCACGTTTACTTCAAAGTGAAAATAAGACAAACACAGAAAACCATGTCCTTGTTTTTAATTTTGATTAACTGGGTGCACAATGACCTTCTGAGAGCAAGAGAAGGGGAAATAAGGGGAAATCAACATATAATCACCTGCAGCTCTTAGGAGATACTAGTAACATTTCAGCACTAAATTTATGCTGAAAGACTATTTAGCTAAAGCAGTCATTTTCATGGGCTATTTTTTCTGTAAATATGGCAAATTACCTGCATTTGTTCACATGTGGGAAGACTCTACTGGTGCAGTTTGGCTGTAAGAGAGTAAAGGAAGATGAAGTTCAATCGCTCTAGTTACAAACATCTCAACCTAATAAACCTTCCTTCAACATCTCTGAATAAAATTCTCTTTAAACATGCAAATAATAAAAGATATTTTGAAAGCAAATAGTGATCAAGCCTTTGGCGTTCGAGTAAGCCATTGGCAAAAGCTTTAGGTCATTGGGTTGGACCATGTTGGAGCTTGACTAGCATTCCCCATTTAAAGCCACATTTGAGTGTCAGCTTCTTCAAGCACATCCCTAAGTGCAGCCTGCCATCTGGATGATGAAATAATTTAACAGATGAAGTTAATAATCCATGGGCGCCTTTTTGTAGCCATTTAAAATGGCATTACTCATGTTGAGGCCAAAGAATCAAAGCTGCTGCTTTACTTGATCAAATATAGGTGTTCACTTTGAGTAAAAGGTTTACTGGAACTCCAAAATGTCCATTCAGACTGCTGGTTGGAATCCGTAACTTGATGGTTATTTTTAAACATAGCTGTTTTATTTGCCGTTGAAGATAAATGCCTGCCTGTGTAACATATCATTCTGTCTGGCATTTCTCTCCCTCTGATTTTATGTCTACACACTGAAAATCTTTCATTCAGTTTACAGGCAATGCATATAAATTATGTGATTTCAGCTTCAGCTGTTCTGTCTGAAAATAATAAAAAGAAGGGGAGAAAAATCCCCTCACATTTCCACTTGCAATTTTACCTTTTTTGTCATCATATTTCTAGGCAAGGCGTATTGCTTTAGCTAGTTCATAAAAAAAAAACATCAGCTTATTGGCTCTGGGATCTATTTCATTTTCATAAATCTGCCATTTCCAGAGCATGCTCTTCTTGGTTTCATGTACTAAAGTCTAAGAAGAATTATAGTGATGCAGAGGTCCTCGACCCCAATTTAGGGCTTTTTAAATGACTGTCTGAATCGATTTCTGCCAGATGGGTTTCTGAGGGCAGATCTCATCACAGTCAGATAGTTGGAAATCTCAAAAGTTCTCTCAAATAATGTCAGTCTGCTCTGTCTGCCACACATGTATGACTTACTTATCTGTGATATGCTTTACTATAGAATGTAAAAGTTTGCAATTCACAACACAAAATAAGATGTACAGTAGAAGCTGTTATAGCTAATTTAGCACTTCCCTTCATCCAATTTGGTGTGATTAAGTAAAAATAAAAGGTCCATCTTTAACTATGTTAAATAGGGATGTCCCGTTCTGATATCGATATTGGAAGTAATTCGATATCAGCCCAAAAATCAGATTATATCGAACAACATAAAAAATCTCCGATATAAGTAGTCCGTTAAGGTCCACATTTTTGCAACCAATGGTAAAGAAAAATAATGTCTTTTTTTCATACTTACTGTTATTGGCTCTTCTTCTCCAATTGAGTAATATCACTTGATCAAGCCTTTCATACATTCCACACTATGAAATATGTTAAAGTATGTAATAGGGCTGTCGCGGTAACCGCAAAAATGAAATATCGCAATATGAAGAAGCCCACCGCGCTGCATCATGGGCCACCGCGATTACTGAACTTGGTTCAACTCAATGATGCATGTTGAGAAGGATGGCTGCACTGGTATCAAAACGAAACGTTACTTCGCTCCTTTGGGAGCACTTTGGTTTTCAGTACGTCAGCTGCTGCGCAGCCAGAGTCCTTGGCCGAGACAGAGCTGCCACCAGCGGCAAAAAAATAATAATAAACGCTCGAAGACCTGCTGAAGTCCCGGACAAGCACTGCTTCTGCAGCCGTCCGAAGAGAGTTTGAGCCGAGCTGGAGCTCACTCGCTACCTGCAGGAGGAATGCATCCACCCTAAAGAAACCCCCCTGACATGGTGGAGCAACAACCGGGAGAGATTCCCTTTGCTCGGCAGAGTCGCACGCAAGTACGTGTGCGTTAGTGCAACGAGCGCACCATCCGAGAGGGTTTTCAGTGTTGCTGGAAATGTTGCCACCCCTCTCAGATCCTCTCTCAAACCGTATATAGTTATCATGCTGGTTTTGCTTGTGGGTAACAAGGACGTGACCGAGCTATAAATCACCGTCATTCGTGTGTGTGAAAGTGAAATGATAGTGCGCCCGCCTGGTACATGTAATTTTTTATGCTTGATTTTAAACAACTAAACAAAATGGGGACTTGTTTCTTATTTGTTAGATGCTGCAGCCAAATTTGCATTTAAAAGTTTAACCTCCTGAATTTTGTTGTTTTTAAGTTCAGTCGGACTCCGACTGTCGGAGAAACAAACGTTACTGCGATCTGTGTTGTTACTGCCCTTTGATCTGCATTCAGTAAAGTGTTATAAAAGAAGGCATGGCAATTTTTAACCTTTTTTAAATGTGTAAACATTATGTTTAGATAGTACTGCAATAAAAAAAGGGCTGCAATAATATCGCACACCGCAATATTAAGCCACCCTGAATCACCGCAGGGGGAATTCCTCAACCGCGACAGCCCTAGTATGTAAGATGTTTGCTGATATCGTATCAGATTGATATTGGTATCGGTCAGTACTGAAGGCTGCAATATCGGTATCGTATCAGAAGGGAAGAAGTTGTATCGGGACATCTCTGTTATTGTGCAGCATTTCATTAAAAATTAAAACATATACTCTGTTAGTAGAGCTGTAGCGAAGCGTCGATGGCGTCGACGGCTCGGTTCTAACAATTTGTCTACGTCAGATCCAGTAGTCGACGCACCACGCCTACTTGTTGCATCCCCAGGAGTTTATAAATAGAGGTGGAATCTGTTTTTCCTCTAGTTTGCCCTCTTCTCCGCCTTCACTAACATCTCCGCCAAATACCGAAGAACCAGAACAATGTCCGTCCGCTACTAGATTCCTTTCTTGTTTTGCCCGCCTTCGTCTCCCGGCAACGGACAACAACTTCTGGGGTCAAATGCGCTGCTTCGGCCCTTAACGCAGATGTAGAAAATCATCGGGAGAGTTTCTCCCTTCATAAAGGAGCTTCATTAATTGTGCAATAAAAAATTATTGCTAGATTAATCATCTAAATAGTCATTAGAATAGTCGACTATTCGATAAAATAATTGTCAGAATAATCGTTTTAAAAATAATTGTTTACCCCCAGTCCTATCGGTTAGTTCCATCTTTGTTCATGTGAAAGTGACCACAACTCAGTGAAGATGCAGTCCTTCTGTTAAAGCTGCTAAATTCTGTCATTTCCACCGGACGACCACACTGTCTCTGCACGAATATCAAACTGTCTCTCTGACATTTCAAAATGGATGAAATCCCATCATCTCCAACTCAACCTCTCTAAAACTGAACTACTTGTCATCCCAGCAACACCATCCATACAGCACAACATCTCAATCCAAAATGGCTTCCTATCTCTGGTTCCTTCAAAGACAGTTCGAAATCTGGATGTTGTGATTGATGAACACCTGACCTTCAGAGATCATGTTGCCTCTGTTGCTCGTTCATGCCGCTTTGCGCTGTATAGCATACGAAAGATCAGACCACACCTAACACAACATGCCACCCAGCTCCTGGTGCAATCTACTGTCATCTCCCGCCTCGATTACTGCAATGCCCTTCTAACTGGTCTTCCTGGCTGTACTGTGAGACCTCTTCAAATATTCTAGAACGCAGCGGCGCATCTGGTCTTCAATCAGCCAAAAAGAGCACACGTCACCCCTCTGTTCATTGAGCTCCACTGGCTACCGCTAGCTGCATGCATCAAATTCAAATTGCTAACACTAGCATACAAACTCCGAGATGGTACGGCTCCCATCTACCTGAATCCTCTTGCAAAGACTTAGGTCTCGGCCCGGCCGCTCCGGTCATCACAGGATCGTCGGCTAGCCGTGCCTACACCACGCTCAGGACAATCCAGACTCTTCTCATGCATCGTTCCACAAATGTGGAATGAGCTACCAAGCACTACCAGAACAGGGGCTTCCTTTTCAATTTTCAAGAAACTCCTGAAGACCCTGCTCTTCAGAGAGCATCTTCTTAACTAGCGCCCTCCCTGCACCCGTCCCCCCTCTCTACTGTCCACTCCTTGTTCCCTCCTCTCAATAATTGATGTCAAGTTGTTGTTATTGTTGTTGTTAGCCTCAAGGGCAACATGCTGATTATCACTTGTAAGTCGCCTTGGACAAAAGCGTCTGCTGTCTCTGCATTCCAGCGAGCTCTGGAGCAACCAGTCCTCAACCGTTTACCCAATCGGTGAGCGACAGTCTCTGACATTGCATTTTCGGAATGATGCAGTATGCTTGGAACCACAACAAAGTAGGTACTGAAAATTTGGGGGAAAACATCAAACTGTGCTGTTGGAAAAGGGGCATTAAGTTACCCGATACTGTGTGAAGGTGGAGATGACAGAAATGATTTAAATGTTTTATTTAAGCTCTTTTTGAAATACTAGTAATGCTGTTCTAGTTGCTGTTATTTATCTGGTCTGGTTTCAACATGATTGGATAATATTTAATCTTTCTGATGCCCATTGTAGTTTTCAAGAACATAGGGATGCAAGATGAGCTCGGCTCACAAATCTCACAAGGTGGCAGAGAAGCTGAGTACAGTTCGCAAGCATTAAGGGACACTATTGCTGCTTTCACTCATATGCTGGTCAGCACAGCTTCAAGATCCTGTTCTGTGTGTGCAGTTGTGAATAAAACAGTAAAGCAGTCTCAGGAAGTTGCAACAAAGGCTGTTGTTCAACTTGGACGGATGTTATGCTTAAGAGGAGATGGTGTCATGGATATTTTTCTTGACTAAAACACATTTATTCAAACAAAGTGCTGACACATTTTAACCTACACAAGTGCATTATAGCCACAACAATTTGGAGATACACACTCACTCCCATCAGTAAATGAACTCATACACCCACACACATACCACGTAGTGATCAGGTAAAACCTTTGTTGATGTTTTGCTCATAAACTTTCCACTTGATTGATGATTGCATGTTGTGAGCTTATAAACCTGTTACATGTAGGCATTTATGTAAAATATAAAATGTGAGATATTTTCTGAATGCTGCTGACTTGGCCTTTGACCACTGGGAACAGAAAAGAGCTAAAAAGCACCAGAGTATGGACAACATGCAAACACTGAGATTATGTCACTAGTTGTGTTATTGGGATCTATTAATCTTTAGCTTTTGCTTTTCATCCGCAGAGGCATTCAAGGGAAGAAATGTGGGACCATCATTGTGAAAGCCGAGGAGCTGAACAACTGCAGGGTGAGTGTATCAGCTTGTCTGTCTGCTGCATTTGTTCCTCAGCCTCTGCCTACAAGGCTACCCTTGTTTACTTTGTACATACTAAGAAGTCAACCTACAAACAAGGTCCTATTATTGCTCAGTTTTTTAATTTTATTAGGATACACTAATGTGACTTTAAACTTCATGTTATTTTATTTTCTCCTTCATTCAGAAGGAAAAACCGTATTTAATAATAATTCTGCACCCTGATGCCTCTTTATTTTTAGGCACAAAAATGATACCTCTTCAGATTCCGTTTACACTTGTGAATTGCAGAAAATGTCCAGAGAACATGGAGGAATCCCAAATAAACGACCAAGCATATTCCACTCATAGGTCACCAACAGAGATTTAAACTGTCTCTTTGTGAAGAGACAAAGCAAAGTAATAGTTCAGAGCTTTTATACCAGGGTTCTTTTGTACATCTGTAGACATTTATGCTGTGGATAAATTGTTTCCATCCTAAAAACAACTCCTTTTTTGATAATTCTATTTTAAACCAATGCTATTTGTAAAACATTTACATCACCTCATATTTAGTATTACACAGCAGAAATATAAGAACATGTCTTGGATGATCAGGAAGTGCTGGGAGTAGCAGCTGGCACCACTAACTGTTGATAGAATATAGTGAGTGGTTGCTATGATATTCAATGTGATGTACGATATCTGGCATACAACTTATGTTTGTTTGTGATGATATGAAAGATCAGGCTGCGTATTGAACATCATTCCAAACTAAAACAAAGTTTCACAGACACACACCTGCCATACCACACACTACATAATTCTATAGCCACGGACTCCAGTGTAGATGAAAGTCCGATAACACTCAAGAGTTTCAGAGCTAATTTATTATGTATCGAGGTGAGTCTGACAATATCCACTCAGTAATGCTAGCCCACTTTCACAAGCCCAGCTCCTCTTCCTCCAGATAGGTACAGCTCCATGTCTCAATTGCTAGTTTGATTTTCCAGGGATCAGACTCTTAAAGCCTCCACCTTAGTTTTCACCTTGATCCACAATGCACCGGACCTGTTGTGCTCCTTAAGCAAGTGCTGGGTCCACAGGTGGAAAAGTCCCAATAACTGGTCCGAGCTGGACAAAAGCCTAGCTACCAGCTGCTTGCACTCAGGCCTCACCCCCAGATCTAGCTCTACGGTAGGACCCTGAGAACCCATCGAGCCAAATCCTCTGGTACTCTGCTGTCATTGTCTCACCCTTCACCTGTGACCACCTTAGCATGGGAGATCCAACCACAGGCAAGATAAGCGCCCCAGACAACATAAGAGCATTAGGGCCCTCAAACTCCTCCACCATGATGAGGTTAAAGCGGGAGGTGGCGTTACCTTGCCCATCATTATATAATAGCCACAAATACATTTATAAGGATGCCTATATTAAGTTACAGGAAATATCGGTATACTGTAAAGTATTGTGCATTCTTTAATGCAAAATAGCAAAAGATTAAAAGTAAAATCATGAGTAAATTTAATAAATTTGACTTAATGCACTAAATTGAAGAAAAAAAATCTTCATCCATTTCTCATAATTCTCTTGCTCCATTCATTTTTCATTCATCATCCTTTCTGGTCCATAACAGCTTTAGCATCTGAGGTTCAATAACAAGAAGAAACAAGAATAGAATAGAATAGAATAGAATAGAATGTATGGATCCCACTGTGGGGAAATCCACTCTTTACAGCAGCACCATCAGTTAAGAGAATCATTTAAAGAAAAATAATAACAAAAGTACATGTACATACACATAGGCAGTAAGCTAGTATTGTAATCTTTGACCACTAAAAACCATGAATAAAAAATAAAACACTTATTCTCCTAAATCATCAATATTTAGACCGTTAGTAGCTTCAGACCATCACAATCAAATAAGTTACATTTTCACTGGCTTTGTACCAACACAATTACATCGAGGAGCTGGAGCAAGTTTTCCTGGACCTGGTGCCTCATAGAGCCAAAATGGTAAAATGCGACCCCGTGTCCCAGTGAGACAGATCAGTGCATAAAGGTTGTGAATGAAAAACATTGTGCCCCCCAGACCAGCTATCCCTACTGAGATCTCTTTCATGTACTCTGTTTAGCGTTCACACCCCACCTCCAACTTCAACACCATGTCCACACGTTGGTCTCACTTTAACAGCTCCTGTAGGCTGTTTCTCACCAGAGGTTCAACAGTCATGTGTGCTATTAACAAATTTATGAAGCTCTTCTGAACTTGATGAACATTAAATGGAGTTTCTAGAGTTCTTTGGGGCAAAATCAACATCATTTAAGACTTCAAAACTGGTCCAATACCTGGGTGATCTACTTAAAGGTCTCTGGTACACCTGGTTTGAGGGGCATGGGAGGATGGTATGCATCAGGGGTGTTAGGACCCCTGTCATAAATGCTTTCAGTCGCAGTTCAACATGAAGACTTGCATCTGTGTCTTTTCCTGATGGGGTTATGTGGTTTCAGTGCTTTTTTAACGCATGGTGAATTAGGTTTCCCTGGTGCTCACATTGCTTGTCGTGTGTGTTCCTCTTTTTTTAGGAATCTGTGATGATGCAATTCTGCGGAAACAAGCTGGACAAAAAGGATTTCTTTGGCAAGTCTGATCCCTTCCTGGTCTTCTACAGGAGCAACGAGGATGGCACGTGAGTTAGCCCTTCCTTTCCTGCCTTCACTCCTCTTCCCCTTTCCCATGTTCAGCTTAATCCTTGCCTGCAAAGGAAACAGCTTCCATTGATTTGCCTCAGATCAAAAGCCACACTGCCTGTTTAAGTATGTGTGCAGATGACATGTGGAGATCAACACGTGTGTCTAAAAGCAGGAGGTATTGTATGAGTGTGAAGCTGTGTGGAAGGAATTTTAGGTGTGTGTGTGTGTGTGTGTGTGTGTGTGTGTGTGTGTGTGTGTGTGTGTGTGTGTGTGTGTGTGTGTGTGTGTGTGTGTGTGTGTGTGTGTGTGTGTGTGTGCGCGTTCGTGCGTGCTTGTTCAGTCCATCGCAGTTGGTGCTCTCCTCCATCCTGCAGTGCGGTACAAGTCAGATAAGGCTTTTTGCTCTTAGGGTGGGAGATGTCAGCTCCACCTGCCAGCTGAGTGATTAATGAAATAACCTTTTTTCTTCTTTCTCGGGAGTGTTTCTGTTTTTGTGACAACAGGAAGGTCAAACGTTAGCATCGTTTATGATTTGATTTATTAAAGACTCCGTTTACCTTAGCTTTTATTATACAAGCAAAAAGATCAGTTAAAATCAGTTTGGCTATGGTACATCACCAAATGAAACTGTAGCAGCTAAATAACCGGCAGTGGTGTGACCACATTGTACAAAAGTATTGTGATAACCAGGAATTTTTAGATTGTGGACTAAATGTTGCAAACACTTATGGGAAAGTTAAGCTCATGCTCAGGTTTTTCATGTTCAAGGTCAAAGGTTAGTAACAATCCTTCAGGATTTTCTGTTAAATAGTATAATTCATGGTTACATCCATTACAGCGATGTCTTCTATCATTGAAGTAGCTCCAGACCATGACACTACCACTACCATGTTTGAGTGATGGGATGATGTTCTTTCAGTGACATGCAGCATTAGTCTTTCATGAGATGTAATTGGATGTGCATCTTTTTCTTAAAGTTCCCATATGTTTTGATAACCTCGTCTCTAAGTTTTTTTATACGGATACTCTTATTGTGGAATGATAAAGTCTGACCCTTATTAAATCTGAACGTTATTATGTCGGGCCTGCAGTGCTTCAAATGTTCTGGGGTCATTTGTTCTTGAATTTCTTCAGAATATTGCTTTTTGGGATCATTTAGGCCATTTCATGTGACAGACAGGTTGCGAGTAGTCAAGCTTGGGTGTGGCTGCTTAACTCTGCTTTCCAAATGATGTGTTTAATCTCCATTAAGTCATGATTTAGTAATAATCAACACTCTAGTCTTTGTTAGCATAATATATATTGAACAGAATGGATTTTGTCAAAGCTTTAAAAAAAATAAACAATCATTGGACATAGGGATGGGTACCGAATTTGGTACTTTTTAAGGCACCGGCCGAATTCCATAGTACCGACCAAGCACCGATTCACGTCATTTCAAACGGTGCCTCGTTTCGGTACCCGTCCTTCATAACGAGAACTTGCCAAGACAGCTGCGCATGCGCAAGAGCGTTATGTCGTCGGTCGCTGCGAGCCAGTTGTAAACAGAGCAGCATGGTAGAAAGAACGCACACTAAAGCTTGAGTCCACTTCACTAAATGTGATGGGTAACTGGGTGATGATGAAACCAGCGACATCCTCATCTTAATCTGCTCCGGTAGGTAAATAAAATGTTTAAGATAACGTTAGCTTGATATGTTAGCTTCCGTTCCGCTAATGGTGTGTTCGCTTTCTCCCCGGAACTCCGAATTTCCGACTAGAACATGAACGCGCTCTAAAGTTTGTCTTCACTTTACTAAATGCGACGGGTGATTGGGTGAAGATGAAACCAGCGACAACGATCTAAGTGTGAGGCATCATCGTTTTAATCTGCTCCAGCAGTTAAATAAACTGTTGAAGATAACATTAGCTTAATATGCTAGCTTCCATTGCCACCGTTGTTATCAGCTAATGGTGCGTTCGCTTTCTCCTCGGAAATTCTAACTTCCCAGTAGGAAAAATCAAATGGCAAAATGAATGAAGATACACAGTAAATTTAGTTCACAGTAAAGATGTTTGCTTCAGTTTAATTTTCAGCTTATAAAACTACAAGAACAATGTTAAAATACAAACAGTTGAATGTTATTTATCGTGATATTTATTATTTATTTATCAAACATTGTTATATATTGAGAAAAATATTTTTTTAATTGTAAAAGAGAATTTAAATAATAAACACTCAAAAATATCAAAAATTGGTACCGTTAAGTACCGGTATCGATTCCTAGGTACCGGGAATTAGTACCGAATCGCTTCAAATGTCAAAGGTACCCATCCCTAGACGTACATCAACAACTGCTTGGTCAACTTGATTCAAGATGGCCACCACCACTAACTGGCATTTGCCAATGTAATTGTCTGTAACTCCATTAGTTTTACTGATATTGAATTAAAATGTGGTGGCAGCAGCTGAGAATCATCACCAACACATACTTGTAGCACTAACTGACTTCCCTCATCCAATACAAGATTATTTATGTTTAAAGCATTAAAGGAGCATTAAAGGAGGCAGTTGATTCATTTTAAGAAATGGTATGTATTTATGCATTCAAGGAGAGTTTAAGGGTGGATGTGTTGTTGGCCTGTTTGGATTAAATTACACAGAAAATATGTGTAGCTGTCCTCGTGAAGGTCAGTGCTGCACTTACTGTGCCCTGCTTCCAGGAACTACTCTTTATTTGCTGTTCAAAAGCACTTTTGAGTTACAAAGTGGCTGGAATAATTAGAAAAGCTGGTTCTACTGCAACTCTAAAGCTTTTGATTTTGTTTTTTTAATTAGATGTATCAGGAAAGCAGCTGCAGCTGTCTTCACTCTAAAGAGGCTTCTGTTTAGTTTTTGGATGTTTCTAACTACAGTGGGGCAAAAAAGTATTTAGTCAGCCACCGATTGTGCAAGTTCTCCCACTTAAAATGATGACAGAGGTCAGTAATTTTCATCATAGGTACACTTCAACTGTGAGAGACAGAATGTGAAAAAAAAATCCATGAATTCACATGGCAGGATTTTTAAAGAATTTATTTGTAAATCAGGGTGGAAAACAAGTATTTGGTCAATAACAAAAATTCAACTCAATACTTTGTAACATAACCTTTGTTGGCAATAACAGAGGTCAAACGATTACTATAGGTCTTTACCAGGTTTGCACACACAGTAGCTGGTATTTTGGCCCATTCCTCCATGCAGATCTTCTCGAGAGCAGTGATGTTTTGGGGCTGTCGCCGAGCAACACAGACTTTCAACTCCCTCCACAGATTTTCTATGGGGATGAGGTCTAGGCCACTCCAGGACTTTCAAATGCTTCTTACGGAGCCACTCCTTTGTTGCCCGTGCGGTGTGTTTGGGATCATTGTCGTGTTGGAAGACCCAGCCACGTTTCATCTTCAAAGCTCTCACTGATGGAAGGAGGTTTTGGCTCAGAATCTTACGATACATGGCCCCATTCATTCTGTCCTTAACACGGATCAGTCGTCCTGTCCCCTTAGGCAGAAAAACAGCCCCAAAGCATGATGTTCCCACCCCCATGCTTCACAGTAGGTATGGTGTTCTAGGGATGCAACTCAGTATTCTTCTTCCTCCAAACACGAGTTGAGTTTATACCAAAAAGTTCTACTTTGGTTTCATCTGACCACATGACATTCTCCCAGTCCTCTGTTGTATCATCCATGTGCTCTCTGGCAAACTTCAGATGGGCCTGGACATGCACTGGCTTCAGCAGCGGAACACGTCTGGCACTGCAGGATTTGATTCCCTGCCGTTGTAGTGTGTTATTGATGGTGACCTTTGTTACTGTGGTCCCAGCTCTCTGCAGGTCATTCACCAGGTCCCCCCGTGTGGTTCTGGGATTCTTGCTCACCGTTCTCATGATCATTTTGACCCCTCGGGATGAGATCTTGCGTGGAGCCCCAGATCGAGGGAGATTATCAGTGGTCTTGTATGTCTTCCATTTTCTGATAATTGCTCCCACAGTTGATTTTTTCACACCAAGCTGCTTGCCTATTGTAGATTCACTCTTCCCAGTCTGGTGCAGGTCTACAATTCTTTTCCTGGTGTCCTTCGAAAGCTCTTTGGTCTTAGCCATAGTGGAGTTTGGAGTCTGACTGTTTGAGGCTGTGGACAGGTGTCTTTTATACAGATAATGAGTTCAAACAGGTGCCATTAATACATGTAACGAGTGGAGGACAGAAAAGCTTCTTAAAGAAGATGTTACAGGTCTGTGAGAGCCAGAGATTTTCCTTGTTTGAAGTGACCAAATACTTATTTTCCACCCTGAATTACAAATACATTCTTTAAAAATCCTGCCATGTGAATTCATGGATTTTTTTTCACATTCTGTCTCTCACAGTTGAAGTGTTCCTATGATGTAAATTACTGACCTCTGTCACCATTTTAAGTGGGAGAACTTGCACAATCGGTGGCTGACTAAATACTTTTTTGCCCCACTGTAACTTTGATCGGTAGCTGCATGATGAGTTTTCTGTTGTAACAAAATGCAAATTTTATTTATTTATGCATCTTGACTATTGAAGATTTCTAAAACTGTGTCTACAGGTGGTTGCTAACTGCAATTAAGTGGTTTCAGTGTGTAGCTCTGATTTATGTAAAAAGTCAAGTCAGTTTGACTTTTGTGTCAAAGCAGCTTGGTTATTGTTTTAGATCTTTTGTCAGTCTTGGAGCTTTTAGATAAATTAGATGTTTTTAGGACTTCTTAGTAGAAGAGAGTAATCAGAACTCAACTTTCATTTCCATTCCTGATCATGTTCCACCAAATTTTTTATTTTCTCCAGGTTTACCATCTGCCACAAAACAGAGGTGGTGAAGAACACGCTGAACCCTGTGTGGCAAGCCTTTAAAATCCCAGTGCGAGCTCTGTGCAATGGTGATTATGACAGGTAAGAATCTTTATTTAGTTTCTAGTTCTGACAGCGTATATGTACATTAAAGATACACTTCATCATCATCCAAAGGGTTCAAATGAAGACAGCAGAACATTTTTGGTTTGTTGAAGACATTTTGCTACTCATCCGAGGAGCTTTGTCAATTCTGACTGGAATATGGGAGAGTCAAGCTTATAAGCTGTAGCCGTCTGTTGTTGCAGCTGTTGGTGCCATAACAATAAAGACTAGCTAAATCAGCATAACGTGTATTAATGGTACGTGGCCTGTATTTGCTATAGCTCCTTCTAGAGTTCTACCCTCAAACACAGACGGTCATTCATGCCCTGGTGGTGAAGGGCTACAATCTAGGCTGCCCTGAGGTGCACTGGCAGAGGCAAGGCTGCTGAGCTCTGGCGCCCTAACCCGACCACCACCAGCAGCCAGATGAGTGATAAGTGTCTTGCTCAAGGACACAACAGCAGCATTTTCTGCTGGGAGCAAGGATCAATCCAGCAGCGCACCGATTACTCAACAACCCGCACTACCTCCTGAGCTACTACTACTGACCCAATATATAATATATAATATGCACGTTAGCCTACATTTTCACCCAAAAATGAAAGAATTTTCATTTGTGATGCACAAATTATCTTTTGGTGACAATGTGATATTATTTATTGTTTAATCAGCTGTGATCAATACACAACAATGCCCCTAACCCTCTAGTCTTACCAGAATAAACTGAAGCAAAAATCACAATAAAGAGAACTTGTGAGTTTTTGTTGCCAAGGCAGCTGAGCCCTTTCTGCAGATGGTTTTAAGGGAGGTCAAAAAATAAACTGGGAATAAAAGTTATCTGACTGGAGGCAAGACTTCACATCAGCTCTATTAAGCATCCTCCTCCAGATGTGATGGCATTTTGGAGAAATGTTTCAGACAGACAAAAGTGCCTCTCATAAAGAAGTAAAATGGATTTGAAGATGCAAATAAACTGGAAGCGGTTTCTCTTAAAGGAGGCTGATATGGACCAAAAGTTGTCTCCATCCAGCTCAATGAAACCCTGCTAGATGAATGTCAGACTGTAAAATCAATAGATTCCTTTTCAGGATCTCTGACATCCTCATTAAACGAGGTTAGAGTTACTGAACTGATCCTGGAAGTGTCGGGAAGTTGGACCACCTGTCAGTGGTGCTTAATGTTAGAGAAGAGAGACAGGAACTCTTTGTCACAAGGTGTAACATTTACAGCCGAGTGGATTCAATTAATTTCAATTTCATTTATATAGCGCCAAATAACGACAAGAGTCGTCTCAAGGCACTTCACATAATAAACATTCCAATCCAGGTCAGTTCATTAAGCCAATCAGAAAAAATGTTTCCTATATAAGGAACCCAGCAAATTGCATCAAGTCACTGACTAGTGTCAGAGTCTTTACAGCAATCCTCATACTAAGCAAGCATGCAGCAACAGTGGAGAGAAAAACTCCCTTTTAACAGGAAGAAACCTCCAGAGGATCCTGGCTCAGTATAAGCAGCCATCCACCACGACTCAGTGGGGATCGAGAAGACACACACACACACACACACACACACACACACACACACACACACACACACACACACACACACACACACACACACACCAAACAATGTGTCTATGGTAACATTGTGATTTCTTAGTAAATATTCTATTTGGTGAAAGATAAACTTTTTTGTATTTATCCTAGTGAATCTATAATTAAACGGGTAAACTAGTAGTAGCACGTTCAATGTCAAGGAAAGCAAAACGTTATTATCAGGAGAGGGACAATGTTTAAGTGATTAACAGCAGTGTGCTAGATGATGGCCCCCTCCATGAGACCACCACAGCTCAGCAGAACATCATTGTAGCTTCTTCTGGGGAGAACAACACTTAGAGAGAAAAAATAAAGTTAACAGCTGAAATTGCAGAAAATAATACTGTTAAAGAGCAGATTGTAGAGTTTGAAAAGTGGTCAGTGTATCCTCCAGCAGTCCAAGCCTATCGCAGCATAACTACAGAGATAACTCTGGATAACCTAGCCTTTTAGATGGAGGCATGTTGGAGGCAGGGCAAGGGAGAGCCGTCTTTACCGACTGTACACTCCACCTCCCTCTACTCCCCCACTTGTCCAGATCTAGGCTAACATCAGATTTAAACCATAGGCCCTATCAAATAAAAATGTTTTAAGCCTAGTATTAAAAGTAGACAAGGTTTCTGCTTCACAAACTAAAGCTGGGAGCTGGTTCCACAAGAGAGGAGCCTGATAACTAAACGATCTGCCTCCCATCCTAATTTTAGATATTCTGGGAACCATCAGTAAACCTGCAGTCTGAGAGCGAAGTGTGTATGTATATATATATATATATATATATATATATATATATATATATATATATATATACGTATGTATGTATGTATGTATATATATATATATACGTATGTATGTATGTATGTATATGTATATGTATGTATATGTATCATAAACAATTACAACACTAAGAAAATAAGACAAAAACATAAAAAATCTGCAAATGTGATGCAATCCAATATGGCTGCCACCTGATTACGTCATAATATGCAAATTATGTGAGTGAATTTGTTCCTATCACAAAATTTGGCTCATACTGAAGATTTTTCTAATTTACAATATTCCTCTATCTCTAACCAGATTTAAGCTACACGCTCTTTAAATAGTGATATAAAAAATTCATATTTTACTGAAAAAACTCTGGCGCCTAAAGGGTTAACTTGGGATTTGAATGACATGTCCTGGTCGAAGATAACACCAAGGTTCCTTACTTTGTTCTCGGAGATTAATGTAATGCCATTAAGGTCAGGTGATTGACTAAGCAATTTCCTTCTCTGGATTTCTGGTCAAAAAATGAGAACTTCCATCTTGTCCTGATTTAAAAGCAAAAAGTTTAGAGTCATCCAATTTTTTATGTTCTCAAGACAAGCCTGTAATCTACCTTACAATTAAGTTCATCAGGGTTAATGGATAAATATAACTGAGTATCGTCAGCATAGCAGTGGAAGTTTATCCCATGCTGTCTAATGATTTTACCAATTGGGAGCATATATATATAGTAAAAAAAATTGGTCCAAGCACTGAACCCTGTGGTACTCCACTAGTAACCCTGGAGTATGAAGAAGATTCATGTACATTTACAAAATGAAATCTATCAGACAGGTAGGATTTAAACCAGCCTATAGCGCTGTTCCTTTGATCCCTACAACATGTTCAAGTCTTTCTAAAAGAACTTTTTAATCTACTGTGTCAAAGGCAGCACTGAGATCTAACAAGATTAGAACAGACACAAGATTCGTATCTGAGGCCATGAGAATATCATTTGTAACTCACTAATGCAGCTTCAGTGCTGTGATACTCTCTAAAACCAGACTGAAATTCCTCAAACAGATCATTAGTGTTAAAATGCTCACATACTTGGATGACCACTATTTTCCCCAGGACTTTGGATAAAAATGGAAGGTTAGATATTGGTCTATTATTCATTGGGTCATCTGGATCCAGAGAAGGCTTCTTAAGTGAAGGTTTGATTACAGCAACCTTAAAATCCTGTGGTACATATCCATTTACTAAGGATAGATTGATTATATCTTGAATGGGGCATTAACCAAAGGAAATGCATCTTTAAAAAATTTGGTTGGGATTGGATCTAAAATGCAAGTTGAAGGTTTAGATTAAGCTAATATTTTTGATAACTCTGAAAGGTCAACTGGATCAAAACGGTTCAAACACAGATGAGGTTCTACAGTTACCTCTGATGCTGCCTCACTTACTGAGGAAGAAGAAATCGCATTAGGGAGGATGCTAAAAATTTTGTTTCTAATAGGATTAATTGTACTTGTAAAAAATCCCACAATGTTGTTGCTGCTGAGGTCTAAGGGAATAGATGGTTCAGAGCTATGATTCTGTGTAAGTTTGGCAACTGTGCTGAAAAGAAATTTAGGATTATTCTTATTCTCCTCAAATAACGCTGAGAAATAAGCAGTTCTAGTTTGTCGAAGCTTATTTTTATAAAGCACAAGACTATTTTTCCAGGATAAGTAGGACTACTCCTGATGTGTAGAGCACCATGTTTTCTCCATTTTTCAAGAGTTTTGTTTTAAAGCTCGTAAATGAGAATTAAACCAGGGAGCCAACTTCCTGTGCCTAATTACCTTCTTTTTTAAAGGGGCAACATCATCTAATGCCACACGTAAAGAGGAAGTAACATGATGAACTAAGGCATCAATTTGTGAGGGGCTAGAACTGAAAATATTGCCCACTGCTATGTTCCTCTGAGATGCAAAGGACAGTAAAGATGGAACAGTTGATTTAAAAATGCAGCAGCATTGACCGATAGAGACCGACTATAGTGAAATTTACTTTCATGTCTCGAGAACTCAGTAATAAAAAACTTAAAGGTTATCAGAAAGTGGTCCGAGAGGACTGGATTATGTGGAAAGATCACTATTTCCTCACACTCTATGCCATAAGTCAGCACAAGGTCTAATGTATGATGGCAGGAGTGGGTGGAGCTATGTATTCTTTGGGTAAAACCAATTTCGTTTAAGATATTACAAAAGGCTACATTGAGGCTATCATTTTCAATGTCCACATGAATGTTAAAATCCCCCACTATAATGACCTTATCAGTATTTAGCACCAAATCAGATAAAAAATCTGAGATTTGATCCAAAAACTCAGAGTAAGGGCCTGGTGGACGATATAAAACTACAAACAAGAGTGGTTTTACAGTTTTACAATCTGGATTAGGAAAACTAAGAATAAGATGTTCAAACGAACTGTAGCTATTAATTGGTAAGGGATTGATTAATAAGTCCGAATGAAAAATGGTTGCTACTCCTTCTCCCCCTGGACTTCGAGCAATATGTTGATTTAAATAATTAGAAGGAGTTGACTCGTTTAAACTAACATACCATGAATTCCGGACTATAGAGCGCACCTCAATATAAGCCGCAACAAAAAA